AGAGGAGAGGGAGAAGAAGGAGAAAGAGGAGGAGGAGAGACGCAAGGAAGAAGAGAGGAGGGTAGAGGAGAAGAAGAGAGAAGAGGAACTCAAAGCTAAAGTAATCATTGGGCATCATTAATGGAAGTATTTCCTTATTTAAATTTGTGCATAGGCTTCTTATTGAGGGTTTTCTTATACTCAATAATTCAATATACATGTACATGTAAGCTTCTATTGTACGTTTTAATTCATGTAAACCCTCAGAATGGGACAGACTTTCATTTGGGAAAGGCAGAAAATTCACCTTTTGGCACTCCTAAAATTTAATTATAATCTTTGTTAGAAGCGTCTTTGTAATTCTGAAATTGATTTTGTAATATGATAGTTGTCATTTGTATATTATTTGAAACAGGAGAAAGAAGAGGAGCAAAGGAGACTGAAGAAACAAGAAGAGAAGAAAGAAAAGAAGAGAGTGCAAGAGGCACTGGCAGTTCAACTGAGAGAAGTAGCTATTCAGAGAAGAACAGAAGCTTTGAGACTCATGAGTGTCTTACTGGCTAGAGCTGCTGAAACAAGGCAAGTTAAATGCTTTATTTTAATTATAATTATAATGAATTATAATGGCACTTCATTAACAAACAAAGTTAAACAATCCCAATCTTTAAGTCGTAAAAAATCAAATTTATAGATACCATATAGCAGAAAATTTTTTTGCCCAAAAATTTTTGTAGCTTTTGTTTTTTTTCAAAATTCGCAAAAATACAATTTGAGAAAATTGATTTAAAGATATACAAATAAAGCCACAAAATGGGTTTTTGGATGGGTTTGTGAAATTTTCGAGCCACATAAGTTTTCCACTATATGGTAGTCAGAATATGCAAAATTTTCTACAAAGCACGAAGACATCAATAATTCAATATGTATCAGAAATAGCACAAGGACATCAATGTGTGTCAGACAATGTAACAAAAATGGGGAGTGATTTCAGAGCTAATTTTTGGAAAAAACTATGCGTTATAATAGTATATAAATATATTAAAAATAGGACTAGAAATCAGTAATAATCAGTTAATAATAAGTGAAGTTAAATTAAAAATGAAAATTTAGTAATAATTAATTTTAAGTTAGTGACACTGAAGTCTATAGCCTTTGTTTTTTTCAAAAATTGATTCGTTTTTTAATGCAAATATTTTCTGTCAGAACAGTTCAAGCTTTCTACATAGTATAAGGACATCATTATAGGCATTGTGTTAGTAATCTTATGTTTCATGTAAGTATTAGGTATTTTTAGGTATTTTAAGTACTTTTGGTATCAGAAAATGTAATACAGTGGGGGTGATACTTACAGTGTATAACTCAAGGCTTTGTCTTTAGAATTAGCTCAAACTTACTAGATGTCGTATCATAAGGACATCAAAACAATTTTTATCCATGAGTCATCATTACTATTTTATTCCTTTCATTTATACTGTAGATGTCATTTATTTCATTGATGTTTTAAAGCATTGAATATTAGTATTATGACAATATCAACATGAGTTGGAGTTGAAATAGATGGTTTTAAAGCTAATGCTCCTATATTATAGGGTGAGGACATCATCTCTCTGCACTAATTTTGTATTTTTTCTCATTCCTGCAAAATCTCTCTTTAAATTTATTTAGCAGATTATTTGCAAGACAGAAAGTTATAGATCTACATGGCAACATATCACAGTCAGCTGTCGACATTATTTTCAAAATTTGTTGTTTGGATAAAAAATATCATGTTTTAATTAGATCTACTTATTAAAATTATCATGATCCAGGTGTGGCTTGTTATAAACTAGATCTAGTACATAGAATGGCTCAAATCAGGGATGTCTGTTTCGACACTTTCTTGTCAGCTACTCCAACTATAAAGGAACTAACGGAGCATATTGATGTTGGTACCAACTGAGTACATAATTGGCACGATGCTTGACTTGGATCAGAAACGATTGAGAAGTATTGAAGCACAAACTAGCCACAGTGACACTCACAAGATGATAGAGATGTTCAATCTATGGCTGACCACTACTCCTACTGCTAGTAGGAGACAAGTACTGGAAACATTGAGAAAAAGTGTGGTTAGTGAGCATACAGTTGCTGATAAATATGAAAAGCATCTGAAGGTACTACATGAAACGAATTGTAAGCTATGCACGCAGTGTGAGTCTCTGATATATAATTTATCTTTTCTTAGATAGATCTACATCACCATCTTCTGAAGCAGTTTCTATTCTTCAAAGTAATGTACAATCATTAAATGAAGCTCTTGTTTCTCCTGTACAAGTGTCTCAACTGTTATACAGTAAGAGATGTATAAGTGAAGCGACTCTGGATGAAATGGAAAGGATAGATCAGAGCAGGTCACTGGATGACAAGAAGACCACTCTATTGACTGCCATGAAAGAAACAGTGTCTAGTGATTACTGGAAACTTAAAGATATTGCTATAGTACTGTCTGATGTTGAAGGAACAAGAGATATAGGCAAGGAAATGGTGGCCAAATATAGTAAGACCTGAATTTAGATTTATAATAATTAGAGCAATTGCATGCAGTTACATTTTAAGCCTCTTTTTCAAAATTGCGTTGTCATAGTGTACTGAAGATAATTGGCAGAACCCCGCCTGATTATAGTGACTCACATGAATATAGACTACCAACTCACTATAGATACAGACTACAGCCAGGAAAAATGTTTTCAGTTTAACCTCAGTAATAGTATTACATGATCATATATTATGTACATGTGCTGTACACATGTAAATGGATGACAATCAGGTTTTCTCAGTATAGTGCTCAGCTTCTTGCCAGCTCATGAGGTGTGCTATTTAGCTTGCTTAGTAGAGCTTTGTAGAAAAACTTGATTCATGAAATTAAAAAAATGGCTAGGAGAAAATATGCATGGACTTATGTTGTGTAGAAAGTTTGAACGCTGATTCTGATCAAAAATGGATTTTTTTACGAATTTTTAAAGCTGTTCCAAAGTTTAACAAAAGCCCCTTTACTATAGTACAGGGACTTTGGCCAAATTTTGTCAAAAAATTCTAAGAAGAATTCTTCATTTTTATAATTTTTCTGATATACACATGCCTATGTTGTATAGAAAGTTTGAGCCAATTTCAGTCAATAATAGATTTTTGTGACTTTTTAAAGTTGCTCCAAAATTTGATGAAAGTCACTCACTACACAGACTTTGGCCAAATTTTGCCAAAAGTGTTAATGAGAAAATTCTCAATTTTAAATTGTTTCTGATATAGATACATGTCATTTGTA